ATAAACAGTCTTATCAAATGTCAGCACTCCGACTCATACAGTCCAGATGCTTCTTATCTCTCTCTTTTTTTTTTCCTCAAACACACACACACACAAATACACTACACACTCACCATGTATGATGGACAAATCCATTGAAAACAAAGTATACCTTTGTGGGTTTGTTGAAAGAAAAAAAAAAGTAGTGGAAAGCATGTCTTTTATTATATCCTGTCGTGCAGTACAGAATATACAGTTGTATTGTCACCCCCTTTTCTGATGCTAAATTATGTTCTTGAGTCTTCTTCCCTGAAATATCAGCTACTACGTACACACAAACTTTCTGGACGTCATCCAGCCCTCCTCCCACAGAACTATTATCTATTCCAAACTCCTTAAAATTTCAAATGGCTGTTTTACAGATATGATTTGACTCGCAGTCTCAACAAATATCTGACCTTTTTGTCAGGAAAAACACACTGTAGGTGACTGCAAGTATGAACTGAACATCTTGGAAAATGTTTGACGAAATCTGTGTTGTGTAGGAATTGTCGAGGACTATCGCCTGCCTTTTTTTGACATGGTGCCCTCCGACCCCAGTTTTGAAGAGATGAAGAAAGTGGTGTGTGTGGACCAGTACAGACCTTGCCTTCACAATAGACTGCACTCCCACCCGGTATACAATTCTTCTCTGTTAAGCTCAGAAAGCGTCAAGAAATGCAGTTCACTGTGATTGCTTGCTACAACAGGCTCTCAGCAAAAGCAATTAGCGTGCTTATGGCTGCTGATGCTCTTTTAATTTAAACTATGAACAATGCCTCCAAACAGAGCAGAGATACACAATCCACTTATTGAATCAGATTTCTTGTGAATTAAATCACCTCGTAATGTCTTTGTCTCCAGGTTCTGTCTGCTATAGCTAAAATCATGAAGGAGTGCTGGTTCCAGAGTCCCTCAGCTCGCCTCACTGCCCTGCGTGTGCGTAAGACCCTGGCAAAGCTGGACCAAGACCAAGACTGCAGCACAGACAAACTCAAATTGGATGTCTAGAGGTCTGCTCCTGCTTAATGGACACAAGTTGCAGAACAGGTGCCAGAACTCCTCTTAGCCTCATGTGCCTTTTAAGAGCAGCATCTGACCTGAGTTGATTCCTGGTGCTTCAGCCGAGGAGGCCACAGAGCTGATGGACTGACTGAACTCAGAGCTGTGCTTCTCCTCTGGACTTCAATATTACTGTTGAAGGATTTACTGCATTTTTTCAACACAGTGACTCAGTTGTAAGTGAAAGTAAGCCATGGCTGAAAGTCCTCCTTAGGGTCGAGAGATTTGCACGTGTTTTTCTGTCACTGTTTTTTATGAATGTGTTTGTCAGGATATGAGCCATACTGGACTTCCCAGTGGAGGAGTTTCCTGAAATTCCTTCATGACTTTGTCTCCCTCCTCCTCTTAAGTTCTGAATGTCTTAAATGAGAACACCATGTACTCTGTTCCACCATGTACATTTTATCCATTCCAAAGTTATGATGAAAACTTTTGGAATGACCATATCCTAAATATATATCCATGAATACATACTGATATAATAACACACATGCGATATTCATTCAAATTTAGAGCTTGTATGTTATTGCTAAATAACTATGTTTCAGACTAGTGGTATTTTATGTGTTATATCCAGAGCTATTATCCTAATATATACATATCCTGCATTCTTACGGGGCATTCTGGTGCCGCTTAGTGACTGCTTATACCACTTAAATGCCCGTGGATATATCTTTTAAAGTTTCACTTTATATAATAAGTTTTATATTTGTAAAAGACTTGTTTAATAATTTTGCACAAAGCAAATATGATTCTCACCCAAAATACTGGTATTTAACAAAAAAATAAAAATGTTATGTTTAGGTTATTCAACATGCCGTCACACCTGCTGGCATAATATTTCAGTGATATTAGAGTCAGTAATAAGTGAGCTCCTGACCAAAATAATGCATACTACTGCAATAAAGTTTTTATGTAGCTTTCAAGAAAAATTTAAATGTAAGTGTGTATTTAAAGGAAACTCCATCCTGAAACACATTCATATTGCTTGGTTGGTTAGTTGGTGGTGCTTTTTCATTATTCCTGTGAGAAGGTAGTAGCTATGTGCTGCGCAGTTGTCACAGGGGCCCTTGCAGGCACAGTTACAATGGTGTTTAATAGAGGAAAAAAGTGCTCCTTTTTTCACTCACCATTTTTCAAAAAACATTCAACATCATATTAATGAGACATCCGACAGTGCAATAGTGGAGACGTTGTTGCAGATGCTGGATTCAAAATCCCAGAATACAATGAAGCTATACCATGCAACTGCACTTTACGTTACGCAGAGACTCGACGTGGCTAGCTAGTGATCTATGAGATGACGAACACAATGCTGATAACAGTAGCATTAACATGAAAACCAGAAGTAGGAACCTGATCTCTTTGAGCAGAATGTAGAGGTGAGGAGGTGAGAGAGCTGGACTGACTAATGGACTAAAGTGCTGCTGCATCACTCTCTTTAGGTGGAGATGAAGCAAGGGCTCAATCCCACTAGGACCACTGGACTACCAGGTAGTCAAACAGCATTGTTGGTTATGTAGGAAACCATTGACCAACGTGAAAATAGACCAAAATGAAAGGAGTTTAAACTAAAAAAAAAAACAAAACAGTATTTCACTAAAAAATAAATCTTGCACACAATTTACACACCATCACATGGTTTATTATAAAGATTAATATGCAAGGTGGAAGTGTTTAAAAAGGCAAGCATGTAGCACATACTTTTAAACACTAGGGGGCATCAGAAGCTCCAGACTTTGGTCAAAAGGTCTTCAGTTTTTTTCTTACTTTGTTCAGCAGTAGAGTGGTCTCAGCTCCCTGAACCCAGTGTCATCCTTTTTTTAATGTAATACAGTCTAAGCAGGCTTATTATTGTCATCAGGAATCCATTACATTTTAATCTGATCTATTTGTTTTTCATTGTACATGTGGTGTTCGTGCATCATGTTACTGTTCAAGGCAATACAAAAGGCACTCAAGGACCCGATATCCCCAGGGAGTAACCGAGACGCACCTCAGTGCTCCACAAGCATTCATAGATACAATGTAGAATGCATCCTCCCAGGTAGAGTTTCACCCGGGCCTATATTTACCCAGCACAAACAGATCTCACATCTCTTATTCATGGAAATGTGAATTCCAAATGAGTGTATTTCTAGTATTAAACCCTGCTCATGAGCACTGACACTCATACACAAGGCCACGAGATCACACTCTCGATTTCACACACCCACACACTTACACACAAGTGCAGGTTTCAATGTAGCCTAATCTGAACTCAAGAAAGGATGTTATAATTACACAAATCAGTTATGGCTGACTAGACACAAGTTCTGAAGAATCTTTTTCCTGAATAGTCATCACTGGGGGAAAAAAACCAAACAAAAAAAAAAAAAAACGTAATATTAGTCAAGTCTTCCAACCAGTTCTATTAGTCAAAGTGTCCGGTTCCTATTGTCAGTGAAAGAGTATCGCTTTGTGAGTCAGTAAGGGGATGGACATTGATTTCTGTCTGCCTTTTTATCTATATCTGTGCTCGCATGTGTCTGTTCTCTGTATAGCCATCTGTGACAGTGCTCGCACAGACTTTAGGGGAGATAATGTTCCCCGAATAGCCCAGTCTGCCTGTTTGGTCAAATGGAGTGGGGGTTGTGTAGGGAGTACATCTGTATACTGCTACGCTGGACAAACTCATTTCATACTCTCTTCCTCTACTCTGTTGTCCCGGCATACCACGTAGTTTTCTGCCTTTCACAGGGGCCAGACTCAAATGGTCCTGTTCACTATTTCGGATATGAATTCATGCCTGAAATATGCAGATAAATTTGGCAAGCTGAAAGTGTAATGTATCACAGCGAAGAGTGTAATGAGAAGCGTTTTCTGCAGACTAACCTCAATTAAATTTCCATTTCTATGGTAGAGGGTCCGACAGTGTCATGTGGCTAATAAAAAGCATGAGGAATGGTATTAAATGCTTTTATTGTATGAAATTTAAGTCACAAGGTCCTTCTCCATGCTACCATCTTAACATAGTAAACATCCTAGTAACTGGGAAACATTTAAAAGTTCTCTAAGAAACATTAGTTCATTTAGTCCCCAGTGCAAAGCTTTCAGCTGCATAATAAGTAGTTAAGGAGATTTCCATGTGCTTTGATTAATCCTTTGCTGCTGAGCACCGTAGGTCTCCTAATCTTCATTCTTCCAGCTGACAAGCATCTCATTGGGTGTCTCTTTGGGTGCTCACAGGGGCCCTGTAAGCTCATTCCAGTCTCATTCTGTTCACAAAAGGGTTTAAGACAACTCTGGTGTGAGAGATACAGATAGTGGCCTCTGGCAGTAGACAGAGACGGATAAACAGACAAAGCATCATTCACCGGACCACATCACAAGCAATATTTCTCTCTTGAACTTAATCCAGAACAGGGCTTTCAACCTACAACTTAACTCCATGCAAGAAATTACAAAAAGAAAAACATCCATAACAGAGATGAAGTGCTGGTTAATCAGCTATATAAAAACATGCACTGAGAAACTGTAAGACGTACAACTGAGTGAAAAAGTTGCACACAAATGAACAAGACATAAAAATGGGTGAAAGAGAGACAAAAATTTTCTTTCTGCCAATGAGACATTTTGTTTTTCCAAGTTTCACAGATGTTCCTTTATCATAAATTTTATAATTGCCAATGGTAGTATGGCAGAGTAATGAAAATATATATATATATATATATATATACATATATATAGTGACCCATACTTGGAATTTGTGCACTGCATTTAACCCACCCAAGTGCACACACACACAGTGGGCAGCCTTTTTTGCCACAGCACCCAGGGAGTAGTTGGGGGTTCAGTGTCTTGCTCAAGGGACTCAACTCAGTCATGTTGTTGAGGGTGGAAGAGGGCGCTGGTCATTCACTCCCCCCATCTACAATCCCTGCCAGACCTGAGACTTGAACCCACGACCTTCAGGTTATAAGGCAGACTTGCTAACCATTAGGCCACAACTGCCCCCAATACATATCTGTTCTAGGGGCATGGTGGCTTAGTGGTTAGCACATTTGCCTCAGTTGGGGGTTTGAATCCTGCCTCTGCCCTATGTGCACACAGTTTGCATGTGCTTCGGGGATTTCCTTGGAGTCCAAAGACATGTGTTGTAGGCTGATTGGCATTTCCAAATTGTCTGTAGTGTGTGATTGTGCACCCCATCCAAGGTGCCCTGAGTTCCCAGGCTTAGGCAACTCTGTATAGTATGGAAAATGGATGGATGGATCATATCTGTCCTCCCTTTCTGAATGTAATATATTCTCTAATAATTTATATGCCTTTATAACTGCTTCCAACCTCTTTGCATGTTCTCTGAGCAGCTTTTGCATCCTCTGAATATTACTATTCACCCTCTATTTTTCCTTGATATATTTGTTCAGACTGCAGACTGCATCACCAAATTTTGCACATTGGTGAAGCAAACCTGGGCCTTTAGATCAGGTTGGGAGAGTAATCGCAAAACTTTGACTTCTTTCTTCCTTTTAGCTCTTTTTTTTTTCTTTTTACAGAATACACATACATTTCATTTATTTTCATGTAGATAAATTGATATCTATCTATATAGATAGATAGATAGATAGATAGATAGATAGATAGACAGATAGCAAACTGCAAACTTTCTCACTTGGTTGTACGATGCCTTTTTGTGTAAATTCACTCATGTGTGATAAAATATATATATATTTAAAAAGTCTATTCATTAAGTGTCAAGTGTAAGTGTCAAGGTTTGGGGTGTGTACTTAAAAAGAAATGCTTGCAATAGGCAAGTTAAATTAATGCTATTTCACGAGTGCATTGTTCCTCATTATTCATTCATTTCATGTTATATGTTATAGTTATAGGGTGTGAATGGAGGGGGGTTCGAGGATGCTACATTTACCAAAAAAAAAAAGGTAATTTGGGGGGAGCTGCACGAGTGAGCGCTCACGCCACAACAAAGGGAGCGCGCGCGCGGAGTTAAACCCTCCCCTTAAAAAAAACTGCGCGCGCCCCTTTAAGCGCAGCTGTGTGCGCGAGTCTTTATTGCCGGAGTGCCTACCTGCTGGTGTTAGACTGAGTGACTGAGAGAGAGAGAGAGAGAGAGAGAGTGTGAGCGAGCGAGCGAGCGTATATATGAAGCGTGCTGCTTTCATTGTCAGTACCTCACCACTAATGCGTTAAATGCGAAGCGATGGGAATCTCGCAGTCATGTCTCTGCGAAGAACCGCGTTAGCTTTGCTCGTGCTGACTGGATTAATAGCGCCGGGTGATGGTGAGTACACGGTGTTTGTATTTACACTCCTCCGGTTGTGTATGTGTTTATTTAAAAGCGCTGGCGTGTGTGTGTGTGTGTGTGTGTGCGAGAGAGAGAGAGAGAGAGAGAGAGAGAGAGGGCGGCGAGGCGCTCATCATGGCGCGGCTTGTGATTTATAGCCTGTTGGCTAACATAAACGCGAAAGTATTTTGTTTTTTTTTTGTTTGTTTACGTCGTTTCCTCGTGGCCGCTTTCGCTTTGACACCCTGTTCCTTGGGTCCTCTGTAGAAACATATCCGCTTTGTTCCGGTTGAAATCTCTTGAATTAGAAGCGAGGTGTGCGTAAATGTGTTCCCAGGTTGCCTTTGGCTTTTATGGTCAACGCTGCCACGAGCACCTCATAACAAACCTGTAAATATTATGCTCACTAACTAAGTGCTTTTTTTTTTTTAAATTTGTGTTTTTAAGTCATGCATTTCCAGGCCTGTACTTACCCCGACACAATGTGAAGTGGAGAATATCCTCCATGTGGTTTCTTTAGTCACCATGTCCCACCACAGACTAACGCCACTTTAAGGTTGCTAAGCTAAACATAAGGAGAACGTTGTTTTCCGGTTGGGTGCTTACACTGCTCCAGAGCTTCCAGTGCTTACGGTGCTACAAAAGACACGTTGTTCACAGGTTTCAGATGAGCTGTGTTGCTTTTCTGTACCGTATGATCTCAGGCTGAACGATACAATTGCAAGTTCAGTACAGGACCACGGTACCCTCTACCTTCATGCGGCTTAAAGATTACTCAGCAAAGCGAGATAGGAAGCTTTCCTTTATAACATATGGTATTTGTTTAGGAGGGTTTGCACAATTTAATGGCACGTTAATTCCTTCAAGTTGCCTTTGCTATCCATGCATGTGTAAATGACTCTTGTAGAAAGAGACAACACTGGATTACTGCCTATATTTAACCAGATTTCAATCTGGAAGAGAAATGACAACACTGAGGCATGCATTTCAAATGCAACTCTTCCTGCAGGGCTACAGTTTGGTCACCAAAACCTCTAATAACCTGCTTATTTCTGAAACTTGAAATTTTGGGTTTAAGCGAGGAAATCTCTGGACACACAAGACTAGGATGGGTTTTCCTGAATTCATGGGTAGAAATGAAAATTGACCTGATGGACATATTATATTGGCAAGCTTAAAGGGAAATAAAATGGTCCAGCATTTAAACTGCTTCACAAACATGCCCACAATGCACCAGGGCATGGCATGAATCTTTATTGCATTGTGGTAGCGGAGTGCTAGCGGTGCAATGTGCCTTCATTATTTTTCCAGTTTATGGCAGTCACTATAACTCCTCTATTTGTATGTCTAAATGTACAAAGGTTACTATTTAGGATTTTTTTTTATTTCTTCCTTTTTGTTGATCCACAAAGTCCACAATCCTGCAGTAAACCTTTCTTGTCTTCTTCTCTAACTGATTTTCCAATCAGTAGTTCACGGATGTGTTGATACAAGTCGGAGCAGTGAAACATCCCCAGATTATGACAGCCACCCATCAGAATCATTTATTTGCCAAGTACAACATGAAGGAGGAATTTATTTTGCTGCGGTGCACCTTTAAACATGGTACAACACTAGTCTAGAGATTCTGGTTAATAAGTAAAATCTCAGGGTCCATAAAACTGAAGTGCAGTTTTATAACATGTAGGAAGTGTGGGGTGGTGTTTGTACGGGTCAGCTGCAAACTGTTCATTCAACAAACCCAGACAGAAGTCAGAGTTGAAGTCTGGCTCTTTGTGATGGAAATGTGGGCAATGGCCCCCATTCAGAAGCCTGTCAAAGAAGTCTGCATCTCCTTTGTAAGGCCAAACGAATGTTGGTTACATTTGGTGCATACATAAACATGGCTGATGTATGGTTGGGCAAGGTGGCATGGTCTTGTCTGAGCTTTATCACACTCAGAAGGCTTACTCTCTGAGGACCGTGTCTGACTTTACTATCATGATTTTTAGAAGGAAGTTTAAAGACCTGAAAAACAGTTAAGAGAAAGCTCAGAGCCAACTTGCTGGCATGCTTTTATGTTTTGTGAAATTTGAAAGTTTTCCCTTGTTGTTTCTGGCTATGCTAGTGATGCTCGATAAGGCCATGCAATGAATTTCCCATCGTTTTTCAACTAATTGCTTTTTTGCTTTTTTTTTTTTTTTATGGATTACTCATCTAGTTTCCAAGAACGTTTCCTCCCTCTGTTCACACAAGGCCATTATGCACAGCACTCTGGCACATGTTCCAGTACCAGGCTTAAGGGAAAGGTGAAGGCCACATCGGTCCCACCTGCAGCCATACATGCGGCTGATGAGAAACGGCTCATCGAGTGAGTGAGAGGGCCGATGCTCTTCGGGAGAGGTATCAGGCTGCTAGAGAGCAGTTTGCACAGCTGCTGTGTTTTTGTCCTGCCTGAGGAGGGGTGAAGGTGCCCAAAGTGTCAGTCCCCCTGCTGAAACCAAAGAAGCTGAGGAACAGTAATGGTGCGGAGCCAGCCCACACTTACCACTTCATTTGGCCCACATACTGAGAAACTCCAGATCTGGCCACCAGAACATGGCCGCAACTCACACTTTGTGGACCAAGTCTCAGGCATGACTACAGTCTGGCCCAAAATTGAAATGCTGAACAGGAGTTAGATGTGATTGGTAAACTTTTGGCCACTTTTTAAATTAAATTCCAAAGTCTGTATAAACTTTAAATGTAATCGTAAACAATTTGTGGCCCAATTTTGGCCCACAATGCTTGTTTTTTTTTTTTTTTTTTTTTTTTTATAAATCATTGCTGTAACTGATTATGTGCTGAAATTACCATATTTGGCTGAAAAATTACTCGCTATACACTGTTGGGGTGGGGAGAAAGAAATGTAAATACCCTGTAGACACTCTTCCAGGCACTAGAGTGCTCAGGTAGTTAAGCTTTACAGCATTCCTGTTTTTTTCTTCTTTTTTTTTTTTCTTTTCTTTTTTTTTACGCAGTATTAGCACATTGTACCGAACTATTAAACAAAGTGTGCAACTGTGTTTTTACAGTGCTATATATTGGTAACCGTATGTTAGCATAAAATCCCTGCTGCAGGTTTAAGTCCTTTACTGTAAAATATATTTATTAAATACATTTAGGAGTCAAAACTCATTTCATTAGCTTTTCCATGAAATTAGCTATCTTTAATAGTTAAGTATTAGCAGGAGATGGCAGCAGGGGCAAGCTATTAGCTAGCCGCATTAACGTTATCTCGGGTATTAGCTGTTGTACTCAATTGCAGTCTAAATGCAGTATGGATTCTAGCTTTTTATCAGTCTGAAAATCAAGTTTTTGATTAAAAGCTGGTTACAATTTGTAATTAGAATGTATAAGTAGCCAGCTATATGGTTAGCCTATTTAAAATTGGGTGGCTAGCTAGCAAACGTTAGGTAGCTATGCTAACAGGTCTTCTCTTGTGTCTCCTGTTAGCTTAATCTTGTTACATTCACCCTGGTGTGGTGGTGATATAGAAATTGAGTTTTTATTAAGATGCGTCAATGTCAGAAAATGGAAAATTGTTTTTTAAAAAGTTCAGTGGCGATGAGGGTTCTTCGTTTCTTCAATGCTAGTTTTACAGTAACACTACAGTAATGATTTTCATACAGTGTAATCTGCCAATGCTGTAAATATTTTCCCAGAACACGTTAAAATTTTGGTACTGGTT